TTTAAAACTCATCAAGTTCAAATCTTTGCTGTAAAATATCTATCCGTTTAAATAAAAATGTGTTATTGGGTGTTTAATGTGTCTAAAATGGTGAAGTGCTGCTCGCTTGCTCCTGCCAAATAAATGTTTAAAAGCAGGCAGAATCAGACAGGATCTACATGCTCTAATAACTCTGAGTGAGTTAGTGGAGCATGATCAACATTTTTTGTCATTCTTTCTCTCTATCTCAGCAGATTCAATCAGACTCTGAGAGACTCTTTGAGGTCACCACTCTTCTCCATAATCCTTGCAGCTAATTGAATAAATTTAGCATAATTAAACGTGAGGATGCTCAGTATTTCTCTGAGGGTTTTATCAACTTAGATAAGTGTGTGCACCCTCCCCCATCTGCTGAGATCATGATGGGGTGTTAGTAATCAGGCCGATGTTGTCAGGTTTGGCGTGTACAGATGCCAAACAGAGGTTGTGGTGAACTCAATTAGAAAACCAGACGAACCGAGGTAGCGACAAGTTCTTTACTTGTTGTAAGCAAAACAACTAACACAAAGTCCAGGATATCAATCAGGTCAATAAGACAGTCCAGGGTCGGCGCGGTAAACAGGTATAGCCAGGGGATCCAAACTCGAGGTCAAGGGGGACAAAATCAGAAGGTCGGTACACAGCAGGCGAACAGAATCTGTGTGGGCATAGACAAAACACAGTGGTCAAAAAACAGTAATCCAAGGTCAGAAACAGAGAGTCAGGCAAGGTATAAATGCTGGAGAGTCAGAGCTGGGGTCTAGAACAATCTGGCAGTGTCCTGGTGGGAGGGCGCTGCCTAAATAGAAGTAAAAAACAGGTGCAAACAATAAGGAGCAGGTGAACTAATGATGATTAAATAAAAGGGCCAAAACTGAGGTGAAACAAAACAGGAAGTAATGTGAAAATAAAAGCATGACAGGAAGCAAGAGGGGCAGGAGCGTGACAGATGTGACCTTCCAGGTGGATGTTGTTCTCTGGGGTACCGTGGGAGGAAAAACTAAACTGATTTAACTATGGTGAAATACTGGCTACCCACATGCTTTACAAATGTACTGACTGCTAGGCATCACAGAGGATGATGTAAGTCTCTAAATAATAAATTATTTAATAATGATAAGAAATATATGACAATCATGTTGCCATTAAGTGGCTTTTAATATTAATGTGCCTGCTTTCTTCCTGGTCCTACCTGGTAAGTCACTAATGGGAGCAGTGTAGCCCTGAGTGAATCAGTTCAGCTTAGCAGCATATGCAATAATGCAAAAGGATATTTAGAGATCAAGTTATCCCTGGATGTTTGATGTCAGCCCAAACATGGTCTCTTCTTGCTAGAGCAGTGCGTTTTGGTGCCCGTATGAGTGTGTGTACACCGCTAAACTGCACCCAGTGTCAAATTGCTTAAGTAAATTGTACTGACAAATGTAGCCAAACATTTTCTCAGCTCCATCTTGCTTTCCACCCTTTGATTTGATTTGATTTATTTTGATTTATTTATTCTTTCAAACATGTAACAATAGTCAGTGTGTAATCACACGTAATTCCAGACATATCCACAAAAATATTTTCAATTTACTTATACCTAGTACATGCTTGAACAGAGTAGGAAGAAGTTAGACTTATCTAGTCCTACCCCCTAACATCATCTTATCATCATTGGTTTGCAAGCAGTATTACTACATGGATACATATTCTTATCGAAATACAGAATCTTTTTTTGGTTGTACGTATAGCATGAATTTTATAATTTAACTGACCCCTTAGATTGTATCCCCCTTCCCTTTCATCAAATAGTTTTTGAATTCCACCAGGTAATAAATTTTTCCTGACTTTATACATAAACACTGCAGTCTTATATCCCACTAAATCAAAACATTTTAACAATTTAGACTGTATGAAAGCTCCATTGGTGTGATCCCTGTATCCCAGCTTATGCACAATTCTTATCGCTCTTTTTTCCACCCTTTGTCTTAGACCATATTCATATTAAATGCTGAATAAATTTTCCTTCCTTTCTAGTGTTCTAGGCCTTTTGCCTGCAGTGATTGTATTTGAATAAGCATGGAAAAAATAAATCAAGTCAAATTGTGCAATAAACACTACAATGATTCAAATGTATGCTTCATGAGCATGAATCAGTGGGCTTTGTGAATGTTGATGTGACAAATAGGAGGATATTTTCTGGGATTTCAGGGGGTACAGTTGCTTGTTAAATGTGAGCACTCCCCCTACTGATGGGATCTGAGCTCACACTGGAAAACAATTTTAGACCAACAGCTGTAACTGAGCATGAATCAGCCCACCTGTGTTCAGTTAAATAAGGAAACATGAGCCTGAGGAAAATCACTGACCCAACACGGTCGAAAAGCACAAGAACACTTCTCCAAACAGCTGGTAATGTGCATACAGTGTGTGTGAGGGTATGTGTGTTTGTGCCCTAGAGTTTGATGCTCTTTTTTTTGATCCCTTGTGGGTTGATCTTAGGGGTGTGGAGGTAAAGGTGGGAGTGGGCTTTCAGGGGATGCAGGAGGTGGGGGCCAAGGCAAGCAGAAGGGGCTGAATTTGTGGTTGCCATGAAACCCGTTATTTTCCCCTCCCCTGTGGTTGGTGCTGCTTGCATGAGCAAGTATCTGCTATTTCTGTCATTATTCAACACCTCAGACATGAACATAATCACAGGACACACACAGAACACACACACTTGGAAAAGTGAGCGGCACCAAACACAAACAAAGACTCTTCTGTATCCAGTTTCTGTCATGCCGCAGTAGTATCACTATCATCACAGCTTGGTTAAATATAGATATAAACTCAGAGGACATTATTTATTATTTTGTGCCTCAGTTACTTTGCTTACTCCTGTAACACATTTCAAGGAAGCATGAATATCAGATACTGTCTCTTTCTCTTCCCACAGATCACATGAGCTGCCACAGCTTTACAGCTTTTCAGCAACAGCAGCACTGCAGCATCTAACTGTCCCTGCTTCAAAACCCACCCAAGCCCAAAGCAGGATCTTGTCAAGTAACCCCTGTAGATATAAATTTGTAATTCAACTAATAAATGAGCACATTTTCAGTTAACCTACTGATTTATCAGTACAGTGATGACACAAGAGCTAATCAGTTTGTGGAGCTGCAGCTACACTGATGAATGGATCCTTCAGGAAATACGCTGCATGAAACAGAAATGTCACAGACTGATGGTTTGTCAGTTCATGCAAATCCATGGGGGGAAATAAACCATTTTCAGAACATCACACACAAAAAGTAAATAAAGTAATATGAAAAAAGGAATCGAGTTGTCAGACACAGTAGCCACCTTTATGCTGTAAATTAAACTGTCACATCCTGTATCCAAAACACTGTTAATAAATCATCTCAGTTAACACTATGATTCATAGAAAAAAACAACTGAGGATATGAGCCTGAGGAAGCAATAACTATGAGCTGAAACCCCAAAGCTAAAGATATATAACTTAAAACTTATGCTTTGCTGCAAATGATCATCTTTCTTCATCATCTCACTAAAGTTCTACTGTAATAGTTCATAAACTACTTCATATCTTGTCTCTTGATCCAAATTTTATGATCAATTTTGTTATCGGTTAATATGTTGATTATTTTTTTATTAATCATTTAGTCTATGAAATATCCCCCAGCCAAAAATAAGGTATTTAAAACCAAGGTAATAGTCAGCCTTGTTTTGTCTGTGACATTTCTCTCTGCTTGCTGCTTGTCTGGTTTGCTACCAAAGCCAGTGGACAAAGAAGAAGATGACACCAGAGTAAATTGGGCCTTAGCATGTTTACCTGGCTTCATCACCAACTTTGTCACGCTCTCTCTTCTTGTCTTTCTAGGACATGTCCAAAACCCAAAGCTGTTCAATGCAATATAATATAAAACCTTAACATTTGCTACTTTTGCTTAAGTAACTACAGTAACATTTCTGTCAGTTAATCAATTAATCGACTAATGATTAAAATTCTACTCTTGACATCATTTGTATTCTTTGTAAATTGTATATGACACCACATTTGTTGTTTCTTGTTGTTTCTTGAAAAAGGCATCTTTATTTCAATGAGACTAGCTATTTAAATAAAAACTAGTGGAGCACTAATAAAAACAAATCCCCAAATAGGGTTAAGACATTGTAGAAATCAACAAACATTCCATAGTCCACTGGATCCTTTGGGAAGCAAATTCATTCCTCAAGGCAGGAAACAGCTTAGTAAAAGTAACATTTATGTTGTGTGGGCTGGGCTTCTGTAAATGTTAATCTCAGTTTATTAACATTAACCACTGAGATTCTTTCCCTCCCCATAAGTAAATAATCCAGCCTCGTGAAAGGGCTTTTGGCAGATTATGCGTCGAGGGCGATCTTGGCGAGCTGAGCATGAGACAGCAAACTTGTGAAATGTTTGGTTGAAATTGTTTGGTTACGTGATGTGACCTGCAGTGAGATGAGCCGGATGGGTGGGAAGCAGAGCCACCTGTTCATGTGGAGCCCAGAGTCTGCGAGGCACTAAGACCCAGTGGAAAGCAGAGGAGGATGGGTACTGCCTGTCTACTCTGCAGGGCTCTGCATTTGCCCTGTGTATGTGCCGGAGCCAGTACATGTGTGTATGAAAGTGTGTGATGTGGGGGAGAGTGTGTCCACCCTTTGTGCACCACAGGCTGGAAGACGAAACCCCTCTCCTCTTTCTATTTTTTGTTCGATCTCTCCCTTCTGCTCCTGCTCTGCCTCCCCCACCTGGACTGAAAACCTGGCGAGAAGAGCTGAAGGGAGGGAGGTGTGTGTTGTGTGTTTGAAGGGATGGGGAGGGGGGTGGTCAAGATGAAAGGGGCCAGGTGAGGAGGAGGTGCATGAGCCAGTCTCCTCTCCCCTTCTCCTCTCTCTCTGTGATGTTGGGGTGTGTGTAGGTGTGTGTGTGTGCATGTGTATGTGATTTGTCAGTGTGTGTTTGTGTGTGGGAGATGTGGTTTGTCAGTGTGTGTTTGTGTGTGGGAGAGAGTGAAACAGGTCGACTTTCCATCAGCGGACTGTGAAACTGCACAGGAGGAAGCAGCCGTCTCCAGACAGAGGTATGTCACTGATTTATCATTACACATATCTCCACTCATACCTGTTGGCAGAGTATGTGGGCAGTGAGGCAGTGTCTTCTTCCGTCTTAGCACCCCTCCCATTAAAAGGTAAAAGGACAGAATTTGTGGAAACAGATGCCTCCTCTCATGTTTGCTAATTTAAAGTCCTAGCTGTCATTTATGTACATGTTGCTACTGATGATTGAAAGTGTAATTAAAGGGAAACTTGACCGGTCTAGTTGTCTGCTCACACTGTGTCATGTGCATATGATAAGGTCTCATGGTTTCCAGTGTGCAGCTTGAATGATTGTCATATGATTCCATAACCATGTATTTTAGCTTAGTGTGAATAAAACTTCTAAGGTGGAGTTTGACCAGAAATTGTACCATTTCGCTGATTTGACTAAATCCAGTAGGAGGCTGTGCTGGAAATGAGTAACAAAGTCCCTATGTCTTTCTTCTTAGAATTTAAATAATTTGGCTTTGTCAGTTTTTCCAGGTACCAAGCACATTTTCCCAGTTTGGATATTATTTAATGGGATTTTCTGTGTATTAAAAGACCTTTTGAGATGCTAAACCACTTCACTTAAGAAGTTGTGGTTTTCTTTACAGCACAAATTGGTTGTCCTTAGAGCGCCAAAGTGACCCCCAACACCAGAGAGCAATAAAGGAATCAATGCTGAGCAGAGTAAGGATCTCCAGAGGGCTGCTCCATAGTTGTTGCTAGATCAGGGGTGGTTTTGACTTTTTGACTCACGGGCCACAATGGGTTCTAAAATTTGTTAGAGGGGCCGGGTCAGGAGCAGAAGGATGGAGTGTTTGTGTGAACTAATATAAATGACATATAAAAGCCACTATATAAAAGGTTTTGGCCTTTAACAGGTAGCAAATCATGAATATGCAAGGATTATTATACAATTTTTTTTTTAAATCAGAGAACCAATGGCAGAAATCTCCGTGCAGGTCGTGTAGTGATTTGTTGTATTTCTTCACGTTTTGGGTGGCCTCTTTCTGCATAGCTAGTGTGGGAAAATGGGCAAAAGATTTGTTTGAAATTTGTCTGGAGAATAAAGTCAGCTTGGATTTGGAGGCTCTCACATTTGTGTACATGTCGTGCACAAACTGATCTTTCCCCTGTAGCTTCACGGTCAGCTCATTCATGTGTGAAAAAATGTCCACAGCAAATGCAAAGTCACAAAGCCAGTTCTTGTCGCTCAGCTCAGGAAATTCGTCGGATTTCCCCATTAACTCCAACAATGCCCTAATCTCCTCTTTGAGCTCTAACACTCGTTGAAACACTTTACCCAAACTTAACCAGTGGACACAAGAGTGGTAATGTAAGTCCTGGTGATCCGCATCGGTTTCCTCCAGGAATGCAATGAGCATGATGGTGCTGAAGTCCCCTTGCTCTATAAAGTTAACAAGTCTTACGACTGGATTCACAACATGATTTAGCTGCAATACAGACTTACACAGAGATTCCTGATGAATGATGCAGTGATCTACCATCTGCTGGGGGAAACACAGGCATTGTAGGGAA